AGAATTAGGAACAGAAACATTAGTAGTGAGGAGAAAGAGAAAAGAGTAATCGGTAGCTATTGACATTGGATTTAAATTTTTTCAGACTGGAAAACATGGAGTCGGAAGCGAATTCCACAAGCAAGAAGTGCGAAAGAAGAAACTGTTAGCATAGAATTTACGGCTACGTCTAGCCAGTTCAACTGTAAATTGATGAGATCTCGACGCCAGTCTAGTGCTGCGCTTAAATTCAAAAGCTCTAGACACCATAGTGAAGAACTCATCCGAACAATTACTATGAAAGTATTTATAAAAAAAGAGATAAAAGGGTAACCTTACGAGGGTGGGAAAGTGACTGAAGCCGATCCGCCAGATCAGGACCAATAATATTGCTGATTCTTCTTTGAATCTTATCAGGGAGCTCAAAGTAGATAGCAGAGGCCATATGTGACAGCAATATTCTAAGCATGGATTAATTGTTGGCTAATCAAAAAGTGGTTTGACAGATTTTAACCTAAACAATCAACGACGCTCCGTTCGAATTTCCGATGGTGATAAAGACGATCTGCTTGCCATCTTGGAGAATAAACCGAAGCTTTCGACGGAAGAGATTGCTAAGACTTTGAAAATTGACTTTGAATTGCTTTCACCATTTGAAGATACCTGGGTTCAAGAGAAACAACCCGATTTTAGCAGATCGAAAAACGTGTCATTTTCCACCGCGACAACGCAAGACTGTTGCATACCAGACCACGCAGAAGCTAAAAGAGTTGAAATGGGGAAACTTTCCCGAAAACCACCGTATTCCCCTGACTTGGCTTATTCGGATTTTCACTTGTTGCAGTCTATACTGAACAATTTAAGTGACAAAAATTTTGACCCTGTACAGTCAGTCAAAAACTATCTCACGACTAAAAAGCAAGAAAGTTTTACGAAAATGGCATCAACTAGCTTGTAGAACAAAGGGAGACAATTCTTAAAATAACGGGAACTATGTACTTGATCGATAAATGTTTCTTTTAGTATGTAAAACTTTGTTTTTAATTTTCTAATCGGACACGAACATGCTATGTTCTAATACAAATAGACACATAAAGACCATAAAACTCAACACAGAAGAGTGAGATATATATATATATATATATATATATATATATATAATTTCTATATATACTATATATTCGCGAGACTTATTGGAAAGTGCTCAGTATCTGTGATAGAGCTAACATATTCCGTTGTATCCCTGGGTAGAAATATATGTGTACGTATACATGCGTGTATGTGTGTGTAAAAAAAATCTTTAAAAATGCCAAGAACACGTCTGCCTTCTGAAAAGAACTTCGCTACATACGGTCTCAACACCGTAACAAGATTACAACTGCGTATGCATATGTGCTCGAACATATGTATATATGTTTGCGCCTGGTCTCACATTGTTTATGTGTGTGTGTGTACTTGTGTGAACTATTGTGCCTACACCTTTATGTACGTATGTCTGCGTGCGTATGAGTGTCATCCCAAAACGAACACAGAGGCGAATTCCTCCCTCCCCCATCACCACCAAACATAATCAAACACAAACTAACATAAATAGATTCAATTTAAAAAAGAATAAATCCGTTTATTTGATGATCGCAAAAGCGTGAAACCCAGGGTTGCAAACTCATATCCACACAATGGAATATATATATATATATATATATATATATATATATATATATATATATATATATATATATATATAATGGATTTATCCGACTTATTACTTTAAACGTTTTTATTAATGGATACTTGTTTTGTAAATAGATGCCGCTTAACATGGAAAGAAGACCTAGAGAATTTAACATTCACGTGACATGCAAAGCAAGTGAAGCAGTGAGAATCATAGTGTAAACTACTTGACGTGTTTTACTGAATTAATACAAAATGAGGACAAAGGCAGATTCTAAAAAGGGAATTGTGAATCGCCATAATTGTCCACCTCCTGAAAGCACATGGCGTATAAATGAAGAAGAAGGCAACGGGAAAGATAGCAACAATATCGACTCCTAGTCTTTATCAAGAGTATTAATAATGTCCTTAGAAATATAGAACACATAGCGTCAGACTGCTGTTTAGCGTGATTACATACGAAGAAAATACTTGAAGCGACAGAGATGTGGTTCCACCGTTGAGGTTTAAATGAAAATAGGAACTACAAAAGATTCTATACGTACAATCAGAAAAAGACAGCTGAAATACGTAATGATGAAAGAAAGCTTAGAGAATTCAACACTCACGAAACAAGAGAAGCTCAGGGAAGGCAGTGACAATTTTGACTAAATGTGTTACGGAGCAAGTAACATGAAGAAAAAATGTGGCCGTAAACGAGCAACAATTAGAGCAACAAAAGATAGGAAGTTGTGGAGAGACATGATCGTCCACGTCTCGAAAGAACTTAGCACATAAATTAAGAAATGAATGGATGGGAGAAAAAAAGGACAAATAGGAATTCTAAAGTTTCAAAAGTTACATGCATCAACAAAGGAATAGGAAATCATGAAGAGCCATGATCGGAACTTGAAAGGACCTAGGATATGGAAAAAAAATAATGATAAGAAGCTTCGGCCAAAATTCGAACTCTGCCGATTCCGTACCGATCGCCCTTACGCTCTCTCGTACTTCCGTTCAAATGAAAGAATTAAGGTAACAAAATGCTCTATGTTATCTATGCTTGCATGACGTTTGAGAACATGGCTTTTTTTTAACAGTGCTCCCGCAATACAAGCCAAAAGCTCCAGTCAAGGTAGAGGATTCCTGAATAATGTATGAACGGAAGAAGAGAAAGTAACAAGTACGATTTATAAGGTTATGTGGGAGAGATAGATGTTAACCCTAGACTTGAAAAGGTTAAGATTCTTGCTAATATTTACAAAATAGCGGTTCTTGGGGAAAAAACGTTGACAGAGGAACTTACTTTTTACTAATGAATTACGAAGGGGAACTGAATGTTTCGTCCCTGTGTACATGGTATGACTGGTCTTAGCTGTGAAGGTTAGATCTGTAGTAATGTAACTCCTCAGAGCATTTGCCATGGAAATAGCGATAGACGAGCGATAAGGGGTTATAGGTTGGAAAATAATTCATCCGCCAGTGAGGACTGGTCATCTTCTGCCCAGATGTGACAGCAAAACTCCATTTTTGGTCTGATCTAGCTCTTGTAAAGATAGACTATAAGAAGGGGAGTACAAAGCCTTCTACAGCGTCGTTTCTTTTGAAGCAACACTGAGTGAACCACGTGTTTTCATCTATCACAAGGAGACTCTTTGCCTTAAACGCCTATTGGGACTTTAGCGCACCGCAGAACTTAAATGAAACTTGTACATAATTTCCACCATCATTGATAATGATGCTGGAAAAATCGTCGTTTCCCAGCACCACTCCAGTAAGTACCTGACTCCTCCTGCTATCCTATACTTTTACAAGAGATAGATCAGACCGAAAATGGAGTACTGTTGCTATATATGAGCAGAAGATACACAGTCTTCACTTTCCAGTCTTGATAGGGTCCGAAAGTGTTTACACGGCCTTGTGGGGAGATGAATTATTTTCCACTCTACAATCCCATTACCACATAAGAATCGTTGCAAGCGTCTCGCAGCTCTATCACCATTTCCATGGCAAATGTTCAGATGAGCTCTATTCTTTAGATCCATAATTTCAGACCTGTACAGCTAGGACATTTGCGCAGTCTTGTAAGGGAAGATGTCTTCTCCAATCTGCAGGCTTTTTCCCTTGGGTGCACCATTGCAAGCCTTTCGCTATTCCATCGCTATTTTTATGGCAAATGTTCAGATGAGTCCAGTCTTTAGTTCCACCAGTTCAGCCCTATACAGCTAAAATATGTACACAGTCTTGTGAGGGAAGACTTATTCTCCAATCTGCCGCCTCTTTCCGTTAGGCGGGACATTGCAAGCCTTTCGCTATTCTATCGCTACTTCCATGGCAAATGTTCAGACGAGTTACATGCCTTAGTTCCAACAGTTCTAAGACCCGTCGTTCCACATAAACTGTAGCAAACCACCCTCGTTCGCCTCTTATTCCGTTACTGAGAAGTAAGTTCGACCCAAACAGCTTTTTCTCAGGAACAGCTACTTTATGGAACTGACTCCCAAGAGGATGCTTCCACCATCACTACAATCTTAATCTGTTCAAATCTAAGGTTAACCGTTATCTTTACCTCAAAACTATTGTTTCGAAAACGTTTTTCTCTGTGTCGGATTTTCAGAATGAAAATTTGCTCGCGCATCACCACATTTTATTTGATAAAAAGAACATTTTTATTAAAGGGAGATAACTGCGATTCGAAATCAGAACATTATCATTGATAACTCTTTTCTCCAATTTGCGGAACCTATTTACTTTATTCTTAATACTTGATATAATGCAAAAAATGCCACAATGATAAAATCGGTCAATAATTATTTATAACTATTTATACTGGGACCTATGCTTGCAATTACAAGTAATCCATAATAATATTTTCAATTTTGAAATCATTTTTGAAACTGTTTCTAAATCTTTGATTGTCTTTCAATCGTTCCGCCTCACCTGCTATCCTCTATGAAGCGCCATTTGAGTACCACTGTCATAAATTATGCCTGTTATCCCTTACTCTTTCCGCAAACTTAACTCCTTCCTCCAGTGGCTCTTGGTCCTTGTATAGGCTGAAGCTTTTAGCAAGGCTTTCTCCTTTACGACCCTTTTATTATTTGTCAAGAATATTTTTTTTATTGCAGATAGACTCCTGTGTGACTTTCTATTTATTGTTATTTACAGAAATGTAAAGATAGAACGGCGCAATAAATGTGACGTCGAGATCGTTATTACATAGAGAAGAAGACGAAGAAAAAAACAATTAGACGAAATTTGCCATGAGTTACAAAGTGAGGGTCGATAAATAAGTAATTGTTTGAGATGAATGAGAGGAAAGGAAATGTGAGTCAGAAAGAAAGATACTTCGATGTCAAATCAAGCTTTACACTTGTGACGTATAGCTTTTAGCAAAGAGAGAGAGAGAGAGAGAGGGGGGGGTAGCCCGAAATGTTTGAACGAGAGAGGCTTTAACACGTGCTCGGGAAACACATCCATAATAGCAAGAGTGATTTATTCATAAACGACAAACAGGAATATAGGTACCAATAACAACAGTAAAAAGAGCGGGATGTGTGTGTGTATGTGAGTGTGTGTGTGTGTGTGTGTGTGTGTGTGTGTGTGTGTGTGTGTGTGTGTGTGTGTGTGTGTGCGAAAGATATATATATATATATATATATATATATATATATAGAGAGAGAGAGAGACAGGGAGAGAGTGAGACAGACAGACAGACAGACAGAAAGTCTAATCGGAAAAAGAAAGAGAATTAAAACGAAAAGGAAAATGAGTAGAAAAAAGAAAATAGAAGAAAGAAAGGCAAAAGAAAAAGAAATGAAAAATAAAAGAAAGACGGAAAGAAAGAAAGAGAATAAAATAAAAAAGTCAAAAGAAAAAGATGAAAAATAAAATAAAGAAAGAAAAAGGAAAATAGAAAAAAGAAAAAGAGATGATAAATTAAAGAAAGAAAGAAGGAAAGAAGGAAGGAAAGAAAGAAAGAAAGAAGGAAAGAAAGAAAGAAAGAAAGAAAGAAAGAAAGAAAGAAAGAAAGAAAGAAAGAAAAAATGAAAGAAAGAAAGAAAAAATGAAAGAAAGAAAGCAAAATAAAGGTGAAAAATAAAAGAAAGAAAATCAAGGAAAAAGGAGGAAATTAAAATAAAAATGAAAATAAATAAAATAAGAAATAAATGAATGGATGAATCTATGAGAAAAATAAAAGAAAAAAGAAATAAATGTGAGAAGAGAAAATAAGGAAAAATAAAGCAAAGAAGGAAATGAAAGAAAGAAAGTCTAACGATGAAAGATTAAACCAAAACAATTGAGAAGAGCAAGGAAGGAAAGAATAGAACAAGGAATAAGAGAAAGAAGTAAAGTGAAAGGAGGAGGCGAAAAAAGAAAGTCAGATAAAATAAGGAAAAAGAAAAAAGGAAAAAATTAAGTGAACTGTATTCACCCAATGTTATTCATGCAACAGACTGACAATCGATGCAGGAAATTAACGAAGTCTGGCGGGGGTGAGGGCAAAAAGGAAACAGAAGAACGAAGACAAAACAATCATTAAAAAAAAAGAAAGAAAAAAATAACTCGTGCTGAGAGGAGAAAAGGAAAAGGAAAACATTCTTTCAGCTAGGAGTGGGCAAGCGGCAACAGATGGTAAAATTTGGTCGGCAGGTAACAGCTGCCGAGAGTGGACGAAAGCGGGTAGCACCCTCATTCCAAGAATCGCTTACATTAAAGCCAAATAATGTTTCATTTCGAAATTGGAGTGTGGGAACGCATTTCAGGAGAAGTGGCCCGTTTACTCAAATAACACACCTCACGTCTCTCTCTCTCTCTCTCTCTCTCTCTCTCTCTAACTATTATTCGGTTTCTCTTCTCACTCTAGTCTATACAGATACGCTCACACACAAGAGTACACACTTACGCTCTCTCACTCCCTCTCTCTCTTTCTCTCAGATATGCGCACACATAACCACACATAAATACACAAACACGCACTCCCTCTCTCCTAGATATGCACAGATATAACCACTCCTAAATACACACTAACACACACACACACACACACACTTACTCACACAGATATAATCATATATATATATATATATATATATATATATATATATATATATATATATATATATATATATATATAGTAAAACCACGATTTTACAAACACTGATTTAATATATCAATTATATCCGGTTTATATTATATATACATTTTTGTATATGTTTGTGTATAATATATATGCAGACCTACATATAGTCAGAATATATATATATATATATATATATATATATATATATATATAGAGAGAGAGAGAGAGAGACCTACATATAGTCAGAATATATATATATATATATATATATATATAGAGAGAGAGAGAGAGAGAGAGAGAGAGTTAGTGAGTGAGTGAGTGATAGATAGATAGATAGATAGATAGATAGATAGATAGATAGATAGATAGATAGATAGATAGATTCAATATTGCTGCAATATTGATCCAGTGTATACTTTTCGGTTTCGGCTGGGTAGTTTAAAGTTAATATTAGCTCAAGCACCAGTGGTGGGGGACCCCGCCCCCAGGCAGTACCTCTCCTTCGGGAAGGGGTATGGGATTATTATCCGGTGCCTGAGACGTCCCCAAAAGGGGAAGTGCTGAGGGGGCTTGGGCAATTTTTACCACAGTATTGCCGTTAAACCTCGACCTTCTGTCGCATTCAGTAGTCACGTGGGTGCGCTGAAGAATTCATCATATTTAGTCTGGTGTTCCAGCTTATATATCTCGAGATTCGCGACAAAATCCAAAGTAGGGTCTGTGATGTTATCGGTCCTGACCTGGCATCTCGACTTCAATCTCTTTCCCCACTGTCTTCTCTATAAATATTTTCGCAGCAGTTGTTCTAATAAAGTTCTCCTTCTTCGTACCTTGAGCGCGTGGATTTAAGTGTACTGGCAACGAGATCTCATCGTCTTACTGTTGAAATAGCTAGATGTAACTGTAACTAATGATTTCTTTTCTCGCACTTCTTACTTGTGAAACTCTCTTCCGATTTTTTACCCTCATGTCACCTACAATCTTCAAAAATTTAAATGCAGTATCAATCGCTATTTCCTGTTTTCTTTTATTGACTTTTCTCTTGTTATTCTATATTTCATTTTCATTAACCCATTGCGTCTTAGTAGCATTATCGCCTTGTTTTCGGGTGAAATGATTTTAAAATAGCTAGTCATTAAGAGACTTGACTGATTGATTTTTTTACGCGTTATCAACCTTTGTGAAGGTTATTTAAAGCCAAAACATAAGAATTTGTTTGGAAAAAAGTATTATTACTAATTATCCCATAGTTGTGAGAGAAAGGGCATTTGCAAGCAATTGAATATAAAGGAATTAGAACTCGGCTCTTCGATTTCCAAATCCAAGCCATTATCCATTACACACTCGCACATCCAACCTTACAGCATCTGATGTTCCAAAGCTGTCACCCATCTAGGTAGTAACGAGGCTCGTCATTGCCTAACTTCAACAGTCCTTTCAACGTGATATGGCCGTAAGCCCTAAGGAGACATGAACGAGACAAACAGACAGTCAGATAGATAGATAGATAGATAGATAGATAGATAGATATGAAAAGAGCGATATGAAAAGATCTAGATAGATAGATATGAAAAAATCGATATATATATATATATAGAGAGAGAGAGAGAGAGAGAGAGAAAGAGAGAGAAAGTGAGAGAGATGAAAAGATATATATGAAAAGATAGATAGATAGATAGATAGATAGATAGATAGATAGATAGATAGATAGATAGATAGATAGTTGAATAAACTGAGACAAATAGATATTAGCGCTCTATAAGGTGATGTACTTGATTGCAAGCTAGCCTCGTTGCCCCTTTCGACCACAAAGAGTTTAATACTAATTTGTTGTCCCTTATATTGCAACCTTGTCCCCTATATTATCACGCTATGGAGTAGTGGTTAACGAGCTTTTTCTCATTGCCTCTATATCCCGATGTTATCCCAAACTGAGCCATTTATTTATCTGTGTTTATCAATTTAAACATTACTTTAAGTGGATATTCGTATTTGAGTAGACACACCGTTTATTTATTAAACCGTATATTTATTTTCATCTACTGGCGGAGCGTCTACTCGAATAAGAGTATCCACTAAAAATAACGTTTAAAGTTATCTAATTAATAAATAAAACATTCATTACTTCTTTAGAAAACATGTTTGTTAATGGGCGCTTTGAAAAATACTATCGTCTAGGCACAAAATCATATACCGTATAGGTCGAACTTTTTTTCATCAAAATTTCGATAAAAATCAGCGGCGCGACCTATCCACTCGACTTGATTTGAGAATCTGAAGTAGACAGAAGCTAGTACCCCGGACTCGAACATAATGGCGAAAATTAATTTTTCCTGACATTTCGATTCACACATCAAATAAAAAGCTCGATCTGTACTGCTCCTATTTGCCATTTACTACCTGATTTACGATGAAATACTAGCATTTTCAAATTATTTTAAGACTGAAACGATTAACGGCATCCAAATTTTCGTCTAAATTCGTCTAAACATAGGTACAAATGAAAAGAATGTTTGACAGTATTGATGACGAATAATGATTCTGGGGTTTCAGTCCTGATGAAGTTTAATAGCTATATCTAAATGAATAAACACTTTTCTTATGTTTTAATATATGTAAGCAAAGTTTTGAAATAAAGATGAATATTTGGAATCATTTAGCAAATATTAATCATATTTACGTTCAAAAGGGGGCGATACCCAATTTGACAACCTGAAACTAAGGGTGCGACCTATCTACAGGTATGACTTATCTACAGGTGTGACCTATCTACAGGTGCGATCTATCTACTAGTGCGACCTATCACTGCTACAACTTGTTACACGCGAGACGTCTTTCCCCCTACTAACCTATACTTCTCTTCATCAATGTTTACAATCTCACTCCCCCACGACACACACTAGTAACAATAGACCTGCCTAACTCTTTTACACCGATCATAATTTTAAAATTTTAAGTTTATTTTCATGAAAAGTTTCGCATATTGAGGAGTCATACAGAGAGCTGGTTTTTGCTAATAATATGATTTTCACTGGAAAGTAACCAGTCTATAAAAACATCTGTCCGTTAGTAATTCCCATTTCTCTATTTGTTCCTTGGACAGTTGATAAAGGACACAGACGTGTCCGAAAATTCCGAACATAAACTCTTTCTCTCCCTGCTTCATTTTCGTCATATTGTTAATATTTAATAAATGTTTATCGTATTGATTATATTGGTACCCTTTTGCTTTTCCTTGTTTTAATAACTAACCTATCTATTTAAAAAATATATATATTAGTTATATTTACATTAAAAAATGGGGGGCATATAACTCCCCAGATTATATTGCAACCTCTCTGCAAGTCAACTGCAAATACCCACTTTGACAACCCCAAACTAAGGATGCAACCTACCTACTGGTGCGACCTATCCGCGGGTATATACAGTATTTAAATAACTGCTACACCCATTTTGAACCTTGACAAGGACCGAAATCATATATTATGACGCGCGCTCACGTGTGTGTGTGTGTGTGTGTGTGCGTTTTCTCATTTGTTGACAATTCTCAATTATTTGTTTCTTATCAACTGTCATTGGCTTTGTTTTCTTTTCTTTATTTTACTTAAAGTCGTACTACCTCATTCAAGCAGGATTTACTTTTCTTTTTAATTGGTCCCTCGCCCGTCACATTCCTTTCTCATGACTCTATAACCACACCTCTCTCTCTCTCTCTCTCTCTCTCTCTCTCATTTATCTCTTTTTGTTAGGCTCTCAATGAATTTTGTTGGCATCGCCCTCGTTTTTTTTTATTCTCCCCCCCCCCCGATGATCACTTTCCCGCTTGTCTCACTGAGTTCGCTCTGTCAGTGCGCGTGTTCTTGTCTGTTTTTGTTCTTTTCTTTGGTTGTGAAATTTTTTTTTTTTCATCGTCATTTTTTTCATCAAAACAAGTTTGTTTTTTTTTTTCCTTTATGAAATTTACGCCCGCACCCCCCCAGCTTCCGTTTGAATAAAAACGATTTCTTAACCTGTCTTTCATTACATTTTGTTCGTGTTTATGGCCTTTATACACACACACACACGCACACACACGCACACACACACATATATACAAATATGCATATGTGAATATAAAATATCGCACACTGAGTGGCGGTGTCAGCACTGCCATGCAATGTACGATATTTTTACATTTAAAATAGGGCTCGATGTACAGGGTGGTTGAAAAGTAACACCCTATTTTCTGAATGTTGAACTCTCCCGTCTAAATATAATTTTTGCAAGACGGGAGAGTCCATCATATATAAAGTAGGGAGTTACTTTTCAATCTCCTTGTAATATAACAAAATTTGTATATATGGACATATCATTGATAGATTTACGCGCATTTGTACTATATTTAAAGCTACATATTACGTTTTTATTTACATTATGTTTATATTTTATCATTGGCATATATATATATATATATATATATATATATATATATATATATATATATATATATATATATATATATATATATATATATGATGAAAAACAGACCACTTTAAGGTACCATTACAATAATTTATTTCACCAAAATCCTTTTAAAAAGATTTCGGATCATCAGGTAACACACATATATATAT